ATTATGACACTACTATTTTTTTGTTTTATTTTATTCTTCTCGTTTTGTTTTCTGAAAACTTTTATTGTGAAATAAAATTGAAAGAAAAAAGTGCAAATACGGGTGCTGTAAGCTTTAACGCTTCTCTTTACAAACACCAGAGGGCGCTGTTTTATTTTATCAAGTCACTATTGTTATTTCTAAGTTCATGCACTTTCTACTGCTTTAAAAACACTTAATATTTGAACTTCTTCAAAATGTAAACTTTCACACAACAGCCACACAAAATGACTTGAACAGAAGCATGTTGGGAGCTTTTCAGCAACACATACAAAATGTTTCACTTCGTTATTTCATTCACTGTTAAGCATCCTAAGTGGTTAATCAAATTTAAATCCATCTTGTTTTTGGCAGAAAATGTGTTTAAGAATTTTAAGATTTGTTTTGTTTTTTCATTTAGACAGCATCACAATATTTTAAAAACAAATTTACATGTCTATAAAACAAAAGGTAAAAAGACCAACGAGAGGTTCAAAACACTCATATGGACAAACAAAATCAAGGAGCTCAGTGCCCGTGTCCCTGATGTGGGTCACCAGGGGCTTGTAGGGGTGCGAGTGGTGGCTGGGTCTCCACCCATGGGGTCCGGCTGGGCTTAGCCCAAACAAGCAACATTGGTTTGCCTTCCTGTGGGCCCACCACCTGCAGGAGGGTCCATGAGTTGGGTGACCTGACTTGCTGCTCTAACCCTGGCCTACCAAAGCTGGCTCTTAGGACGTGGGATGCCACCTCTCTGMTAGGGAAGGAGCCAGAGCTAGCGAATGAGGTTGATACATGGATTTTTCACTGTCCTCAGAAATGAAAAGAAAAAAAAAAACAGTCCAAAGGAAAAGCGTAAAATAGTTTATTGTATCAGTAAAGATGAACAGAAGGCACACAGACAGTATCTGAGGGTAAAAGTTACACCAGTGTCAGTGATCTTATAGTAAAATATACCACAACCACCATCTTCTTCCTGCAGGACTCCCAGAGTTCCTTCCTCTGCAGAGCGCCGACGCAACACGTTAGCAAGCAAGCACAGCCTTTAGCAAAAATATATCCATATATAATTTTACATTTTCTCTACACACTGAAGCAAACAAACTATACAAAATGCAGAAAACTAGTAAGTTGTGAACCACCTGGAAGAAAAGTCCATGCTTGTTATTATTAGCATAAAGAGTGTCAGTATTACAGAATCAAAAAAATACTTTTATCTTAAACCGTTATACCAAAACATACAAGTCCATTTAATGCCAAAAATATCAGCTTTATAACCAAGGAACAGTACACAAAGGACAGTTTGTAATATAGATGATTTACTGTCAAAACTGTCAGAAAAATACACGTGTCCCTTTCAAGCAGTCGGAATTTTAGCTAAAAAAAAAAGAAAAAGAAAGGGAAAAATATAAAACTATATTAGTGCCATGGCTTTGAGATAGTTTTTTGGTTGCAAAACAGATCCCAGAGTTTACAAAATGCAACGACTACAGCGATGGCCATGCTACAAAATTACAACTACAGAGGAACGACAAGTCTTACTGTCAAAATCAAAGAAAATCAACAAAGAAAATAAAATACTGTCACAACTGAAACAAAACAAAAACAAAACTAGATTGTGTTTAAGCTCAACGGTAATTTTACAAAGAAAAAAGCTGACATTGGGATGTTCCCCCTCCCCACAAAATATAAACCATGTTTGCAACCAGATTAGATTTGCACTCTAACAATTCATTGCATCGTATTGTAGTATTAATACATTATTTGCCCTTTTTAATACAGAATTGCAACTTTAAATCTAAATTCTTTTGTAGTCATGAATCTTCTGTAAGTTTTAGTTTTTTGCACAGAACATCAAGTTTTCTTGTACACTTTTGTTTTTTTTTTCATTAACTGCTACAAGTCCCTCYTTGCAGAGATTATTTTTCTCATGATTTCCTGAATCATTCAACTAACAATAAAGACTTTTTGTTTAAAATCTGAATACAAACCCATCATAATGCATTAATTTGAAATGAGAACAAAAGTTTTGGACAAAGAAATGTTTTTTTCTAACGGAGCGAGTTTAACAGTCTTCACTGATTTTCAGCCTTCTATAGAGACYAATTTGAAAATCTTTTTTGTGACAAATAACGTGTTTATCTCAAACACTGCTCAGTAAGATCAGGTTTCACCTCTCTTTAAATTCACTCCAGCTGTGGCTCAGTACGGGTAGCTGTCGGGGAAAGCCAGTCCCTGGACGCATTGCTCCGCCCCATCCACCAGGTAGGGACCCTCCTCCTCGTAGCCAGGCAGYGGGAAGCCGTCCTCCTCGGTGGGGGGCAGGACGGCGTCCAGGTCCACCTTCAGACTCGGCCTCTGGTTCTCCGGGAACGCCATGGAGAACAGCGCGTCGGGGTTGCACACAAACTTGTACACGTACCTTTCTCCAGCCACCTGCGGMAGGAAAAAAATAGTTTGAGACTTTAATTTAACTTGTAAGTTTGTTTAAACTACAATATGAAGATCTGATGRGATGTTAGAGTGTTAATAATAAAAAGTACAACAACTGGTGCTTGAAGTGGAAATAAATGATAAAACAAGAGCTATGGCCATATATATAAAGTAAAGGTCAGTGGCTAAAACAGACATTTAGCTGCTTTTACGTCTAACTTTATTTTTTCTTTCAGATTCTAAACTGTAGAAAGATTTAACTTTTCAGCTACATTTTTAAATATATGCTACTTTTAGTCATTTTAGCTCTTTTTCTGTTTGCTAACATGTAGCTATGGCTCTGGTACTTTTCAATCACCTGTATCT